AAGCGTTGGAACGCAGGACGCCGGAGGCGGCCGGGAGCTCGAGCAGGTGGCTGCTCTGGAGGTGGGACCTCTGCATTGGGCTCCACTGGGGCCTGGTCAACTACTTGACTCATGAATCCTAAGGGTCGGAGCCCCTCAAGGTACTCTACCCCACGCTCTCTCTGAAGCACTAGCTTCTGGTTGTAGAGAGTCGCCACTGGGAAGGGCTTTGTCTGGCCAATGATGGAGCACCGCTCCAGATCCACTTGGGAGTGTTAGGCCATCCAGGTGATGATGCCCCCCATGTGCATAGTGTCAACCCTGTTCCGCCCCAGACATTGGGCGAAATAGATGGCTCTTAGATACCAGAGGTGGATCGGCTCTGCTGGATGCCTCATTGAAAAGAGAGCAAGCAGTCCTCTGTTCATGAGCAATTGGCCTGACTACAAGCTGGGGATGACGGATCGGGTGAGCAGCGTGTGCTTGATCCGCCACGGGGTCCTCAGCTTCACCGCATTGGTGCGGCTAGCCTCGAACTCGTCTTGCTCGTACTCGGAGCGGGCGAGGGACTTGAATGCGGCCTGGTAGTGGAAGTCGACAGTGTATTGCTGCTCCATCATTTTCATATATGTCGTGTCGAGCCTCATGGCCTAGGCAAATGCATCATAAGTCAGCACCCATGGCATACCGCCCAACATAAACTCCACGTAGGGCCGACTCTTCTTGCTGGTCGGAACGACATGGGCGAAGGTGGAGCAGAACTCCACACAGAGCTCGTGTTAGATGAGCTCGTCTATAGATAGCAGTTGGCGCCACTAGGGTGACAGGCGACCCCTGACATTGCGGCTCGTCACCTAAATAGGTTAAACATGTCCAGATCCAGCCGCTAATGTGGCCCAATTGGGTTGTCCCTCTGGTATGCAAACTTGGTACCGAACCTAGCGTGGTTCACGAAGTAGCTGACATACTCATTCTCCACGTTAAGCATCTTGCAAAATCGACAAACATGCATGATAGCGTCATAATTGCACATATTTTCACCCTTGTGTCCTGACCATTTTAGCTCGAATTTGTGGTTTCTTGGCCTATTTTACGCTAGGTTGTGTTATTTTGTCATATTTCAAGTCCTAACGAGTAAAGGGAGGCATAGGCGTAATTGGGCAAAATATGGGCAAGCAAAGAAGGAAATACGGTCGTAATTGCTTGGTTACTGACAGTATTTCGAGAAGGGCGACCATATTTCCTCTTCATCAGCAATAAGTGAAACGCGCGTTTTGGGCAAAATACGGGCACGTCATAATTACGACCGTATTTCAGCCTGTATTTTGCCCAAAATTGGGTTTTTAGAGGCAGATTCGAGTGGACGGAGGGGAGACGTCTTTTTTAGCAGAAAGCAGAGGTCTAGAGAGAGAAAGTGGGAAGAGCAAACCCTAGGAGCTATTTGGAGTGGATTTCTCACCATTGAAGCCCAGATTGCATCCCAGGAGTGAAGATTGACATCCCAGAGCAGATTATTCACATCTTTATGAGTATGACTGCTCTGATTTCTGTTTCTCTCTCTCTCTCTATGGAGTAGAACCCTCTCTCACTTGGGTAAGAAGAACCATAGTTCCATGTGTTAGGGATATTGATTGTAATGACTTTTGGTTTGTGATACTGCTTGATTATCATCGATTGATGCATGATTCATTGAGATAATTGAAGCCTGATCAACTTTTCTTGATTTCTACTACAACCTGAGATAGATAGAATCTGATTAGGTTGTTAGAGCTTCTTCAATCGGTAGTAGTGAATTGATTATACGAGAGTTAGTCGATTCACTAATTTGTACTGGAATCCAATTCCAGTAGTGGAGTTCTGTGTTAATTGCATCAACGTTCTACCCCGGCGAAGACTAGTCGTCTGCCGGGTAGTCAATGCACCATACGTGGAAATAATTGTCAATCTCAGCTCATTGGGAGGAAAAAGGAATTACCCCCATGAAACACTCTAACCCGGACGGGTACTACTTTTACTAAAATTCCCTTAATAAATAAAATACTCAAATCTTAAATTGCAGCGAGAAAATTTTTTATAAATAAAATACTGAAAACACACACTTGTAGTTCAAAGCAAAAACCTAACACGTGGGCAAATTAAACTCAAATTTTAAAATCTCAATTTGATCTCCAGTCTATACTCATAATCATAAAATGTAAATAACTAATAATCTCTAATGTTGCTGCTACTGAAAACCTTAACTAAGCATCCTCCATGACGCTTATACTACCCTCCTCTAGTTGGTTGCTGTCGAACTCGCTGCTCTCTAACTACTCTTCTAGCTCCTCTCTAGCTCTTCAAATTGGTGAGTGAGATGGGGTCAGTCTATGCCCTTACGTTTAACATCTTATTAATACTTGATCACTTTACTTAACTTAGTGGAATTTGTTTTGTACTTCCACGATTAGTGGAATTTGTTTTGTACTTCCACTATTACAAATCTTAACTCTTAAAACTGAATGGGAGTTACTGTTACTCCATTCTTAAATCTCAAAGCTTGATTTAAATACTTGAATGACATGGGGATCCCTCGCTAGCTAGTCTGGTTGCCAACTCATACCTATGAGAAGCCATCCAGGCTCCTGTTTGCTTTCGCCTAAGCAGGCAGCTGATGCGGACATCACTAATGGACGCAGCTACGTCTCAATCTCCTTATCTGCTCCTCATTGCTTAAGTAGGTAGCTGGCATAGCAGAGAGGAGCTCAGCAATGGCCGCTCACGCTGCCATTATCCCAAGTAGGCAGGTCTCGAATGTGGAGCAGGCAGCTCCCACCCATTGTCTAAAGTCGCCACAGAAATTGATGCTGCACCTACCTGCTTACCGCGCCACAGAAATTGCCGCCGCACCTGTCTGCTTACCGCGCCACATAAATTTTGCCGCACCTGTCTGCTTATGCCAAACTGCTCTCGTAGTAGCACCGATTGATGCTGCCGCTTTTGATTTGTTTCTTTCCCGAGAGCAAGTCGCTTTCGATGGAGAAGTAAAAGGCTGCGAGGGTTTTATGGTGAGATGGGGTTAAGTAAGGGGGTCTAGGGTTTCATTAGTCAAAGGTTATTTTTGTAATTTCACAATTACGGGTGAGTTTAATCCGAAACTCAATTAGCGTCCGTAATTTTCTCACTTCGTGTCGAAACTCGACACCGTTTGAACTATTAGTTCACATTTTTAATCCTCATCGATAATACGGTAGAACTTAACCCACGGGTATAATAGTCATTTTGACTTTTGGGAAGAGCGGGGTGTAACATTTCCTCCACCCTTATAAAAATTTCGTCCCCGAAATTTGATCGGGCTCATTCTTTCATACTCCTCATTCTCGTGCTTCTTTGGGTCAAGATTTCACTCTTGCTATATGAACTTCAATGGCGTGCCCTTACCTTGTCTTGTATAGCTTACTATAGTTCTTATATGTACTCTTCACCATAACACGTATAGTTCTTATATGTACCCCTCCAACCACAGGGTCGCTGATGGTGGCTTATCTTCCATCTAGTCATATGGTAAAACTCTTTTACAATAACTCTCGTCTAGGGTTGACCTCATAGGTCACCTAGGTCCTTGTATCTCATAACTTTGCATCCCTTACTTTCTTCCTTGATGCCTCGTCTTATCCTTTAACCATAAACTGACTGGTCATCTCCTCGTTATTTCTTGCTTAACCTCGAAACCTCACACTACTGATCTTACTTCTTGTATGCATTACAGCCATCCTTTGCATCTTTCTCTAGCCTGCAAGCAACTTTATGACCCCTCTTCAAAAGTCATGACCTTCCCTTTGGCTTACTTGTTCACTCATGGCGCCTAACTTAGCACTTCCTTATCGCCACCTGAATTTGAAGTTCTCGTTCTATCCATTCTTCTACTCTTAGACCCTAGTTGAAATTCCTCGTACGGTTTCCCTGTCCAATAGAATTTTACCCGAGAGATTGACACCTTTCACCAACATAGGCAATCTTGGTTTCAGTTTGGGGTATTCTAGCAGGCTCCCTAAACTTATATCCCTCTTACTTCGTTACTCGTGACTCTTCTTCTTGATATTACTCACTAGTTCTAGATGATGTCCTTTATTCTCGATATAGTCATCTAGGTTCTCATATTCTCTTCTTACTAATGTACCTTGAGTCCTTGACTTCTAAGGTTCTCCCTTTTACTAGTCTTAATGACCACGATTCCACCTTACAATTGGCCAAAATTTCTTGATGGACTTCTTATGAATCACTTGATCTCCATTGATAGTCAATCTAATGCTTCTTGGTAGTCTTTTGTAGTCCTGATTCGTCAATTCCGAACTATTTTCCTTGACGGATACTTCGCCCGGTCGACGAACACCATTTTTTTTATGTAACGTCCTATGGTGTTCTCCTTGCTTCTTTACTTTTACTACTCTTCCGTTGTTGCTTTGTAATATATTTGTTCACCAAACTCCGTTGAGTATCTTATCGTTATTGTTTGGGTCAAAGCTTCAAATAGAGGATTTCCCTGGGTAGGATTTAACATACCTCATTCACGTCATTTGTCGCGATGGATGCTTGCATATGGCCTTAATCTCATAGTTTGGGTTCTTAGTGGGTTAACTGAACGTTTCTTACTTATCCTTAACTAGGCGCTTCATCTGGATGACATCCAACTAAGCCGCTCCCACTCAGAGTTTGGCACCTTGGGTAAGGTAACTTAATGATTTCCTCCTTCTTGGTAATGCTTTTCCTCGTCATACTCCACTATGCATTTTCTTGAAACCGAGTCACCTACACATATTCTCAATCCTTCATCGGAACTGTTACACCGCGCTTTTCCCAAAAGTCAAAATGACTATTATACCCTTGGGTCAAGTTTCACCGTAATGTCGAGGAGGACTTAAAATGTGAACTATCGGTTCAAGCGGTGTCGAATTTCAACATAAAATGAGAAAGTTACGGACATTAACCGGGTTTCGGATTAAACTCACTCGTAGTTATGTTATTCCCAAAATAACTCGGGCAATTAAATCCTAAGCCCTACACCAACTCTACTTTGCTTCACGCAGACCTAAGAGAGAGAGGGAGCAGCAGCTATCCAAACCCTCTCCATTCAGTAAGGGAACCAGGAATTCCAAGCTTTTACGTTCAAGGATTTCATATTTGGGAGCAAATTCGGACTGGTGTATCATTTTCCGGGATCGAGCACCAACATCCACCACTTTGTCGTCGGGATGATCGAGCAGTCTAACCAGAAGCGGCAGAGCGCCGGCGCGAACTGCCTGAACTCCCTCGTCGAATCCGTAGGAGAAGCTGCCGAGAGCTGCCGCTGATTGGACGACGACATTGCTGGCATAGTAGAGCATTCCCCGTGGTGAAGCGGCGGGAGCTGGCTGGAAGAAGTCGCCGTCGGCAATTGCGGCGGAAAGAATTGAGGCGACGCGGGGTACGGCGCCGAGCTTTTTGATCTTGCTGCCGATTATCTTGTTCTTGACTTCCCGCAGGGCGCTCAGCTTGACATCGGGGTCGCTGGAGGAGAGTCGAGCGATGAGGGAAGTGGGACCGCCGTCAGCACCGGAGGTGAAAGAAGCGTACGCGGTAGTTAGCATATTGGTGGTGTCGATTGATAGCGGCAGAAGAAGAAAGAAAGAAAGAGCAGAAGCAGCAGGAAGAAGAAGAAGCCAAAAAATAAAACATTCCCAAGAGGGGGTTTTGCTATATTGGCGGGGGCGATCATGATGCGATTCAAGAGCGGAAGCAAAGTGGAGGTGCTGGAGAAAAGAGATTCGCCTTCGGGCTGGTGGCGTTGTGCCGAGATTGTGTGTGTGGGAATGGGCACAACTACTCTCTGAGGTATGATGGGGATGCTGAATTGAAGAGGGTATCGAGAAATGCTATCAGGCCATGCCCACCTGCATTTGAAGTTTCTGATGCTTGGGTTCCGGGCGATGTAGTGGAGGTGTTTGATGACTTCTGTTGGAAAAATCGCCGCGATCACAAAGGCATTTAGAGGATAATCGACAGATAACCAAGGTGAGTGTAAAGGGGGTGAATTCTACGCCATACGTATTCTTTTAAATATTATGATTTTTAAGTATTTTAGCGAATTGGTTACCGTTGCTTGGTTATGTTTATGATTGATTATTTGTGCTTTGCTTGAACTATGATTTGAGGTGATTTTGTGCTAATTGAGGTGATATGAGGTGATTTTGTGCTATTTACCTTATAGCGTTATGTTTGAGTTATTGTTAAAGTTTAAGAAACAAGTTCTTTTTAAGAAGTAACTCACGTTCAAGAAGGTGAAGTCGTTTGAAGTGTTTTTAGACACTAGCGCCAGTCCGTTGCCATTTGAGATTTTCATACGTATGAGTTGGCGACCGGACTAGCTAGTGGGGGATCCCAGTGTCAGTCAAGTATTTAAGTCAAGATTTGAGTTTTAAGAGAGGAGAGTAACTTCAACTCCCTCAAAGTTTAAGAGTTAAGATTTTAAGATTGGAAGTACAAACAACTTCCCCTAGTCAAAGTTAAGTGTTTAAGTAAAGTACTCAAGTATTAGAATTATTAAAAGGTAAGGGCGTAGACTGACCCCAACTCACTCACCAGACCTTAGTAAGGGAATGAGCGAGAACCATATCGGTAGCAGCTAGCTAGAGGAGCAGTTAGAGAGCAGCGAGTTCGAGAGGAAAAGTTCGAGAGCAACCAGCTAGAGGAGGGTTGTGCAAGCGTCACGGAGGATGCCTAGTTAAAATTTTCAGCAGCAGCAAAGATAGAGACTGGCTGGTTATTTACATTTTATGATTATGAGTATAGACTGGAGATCAGATTGAGATTTAAAGGTTTAGTTTAATTTGCCCACGTGTTAGGGCTTTGCTCTGAGCTACAAGTGTGTGTTTTCAGTATTTTATTTATGAAAAGTTTCCCGCTGCAATTTAAGATTTGAGTATTTTATTTATCAAGGGCATTTTAGTAAAAGTAGTACCCGGCCAGGTTAGGGTGTTACATTTTGGTATCAGAGCCGGTCTTCCTCTGTTCCTTGGCCTCCAAGGAATACTGGAATATCGGTCTCAGTTTTAAATGTTTTTGTTTTTAAAGGAATTTAAAATGAGTCAAGGATCTTCTTTTAAGAGCTTATAGAATCTCCAGTCTACTATAATCATAATAAGGTGAATAACTATTACAGCACGACACCACGAGAAGGTAGCATGAGGGTGCGATTGGTTTAAGAATAAGCTAGGATGTGAGTTAAGTTAACACGTCGTGGGACCTCAAATAAGGGATTGAGGCGTATGGCGATCATCAGTATGAAAGGAAAGAAGCAAGAACTGTGGCGAACTCTATTAGAATCCCAAGATACGAGGAAAAGAAAGGAGGAACGTTTTAAGAAGGCCTATGGAGGTATAATCAAATGTCCAAAGACATCAAATCTAAACACTCGCAAAGCGGTGCCAATCGAAGTGAAATGCCTCGAGGATTTTGAAGGAGTTGAGGGAGTAGTACAAGGATTTTACTACTAGGAGACATGTAGAGGTTCTAATAAGCCAAGACAAACAAAGGGGAGAAAGATGAATCTCCAAAGGAAGAGGAACGATCACCAGATGCCAGTAGCTATGATAATAGGATGATGTTAGGGTCTTTGGTCCTAAGTAGTGGAAAGTGGGCAACGGGTCAAGAAACGAAGAGGTACCCCGAGAAGTCCCTCAACTAGTTTTTGGTGGTCGATGACTCAACGCCATTACAACACAGTGACAAGGAGCAGAGGAATGTTCAGACTTTAAGAAATGCTAGGGTAGTATAAAGGAAGCAAAGTAGGAAATAATTAGGATACATGGGGTCTAAAAGGACGTCAAAAGTCAAAAGTTTAAGAAGGAGAGGAGGCATGGTCATTTACCTATGACGATGAAGGAACCCTTATAGATAAACCACGTAACTGGAGAAGAGCGTACTTAACCCTGGGGAGTTAGGCCGATGACAAGCCTTTAGAAGGAACAAGACAAGCAACGAGATAAATGATGTAGAGGTAAAGTTATGGTCTCACTACGACCACCATTGGACGAGATGTGGAGGAAAAGTGCCACAGTAGGGAGTCAATACATAAGAAAAGACATGGATTGTGAGAGAGAATAACAGTTAGCTAGTAGATGGCAGGACAAATAGAGAGAACCACTTCTCAGAAGTGCGTGAGTTGGATACCAAGATAACACCGAGTTAGAAGGAGGATAGTAGAGACCCTACGAACTACCCAGATCACAAAAGGTCAGGAGGATGTTGGGACCGTTGGAAGGGGTATGCAAGAGTTCACGATGATCTGTTATGGGATAGTCCTCTCTTAAATAGAGGGAACACCTAGCCTCCTAGGGTACATGAGGGGTGACAGAAGGAGGAACCTCTCTACTAAGTTGGAACTAGAGGGCTAAGAGCGGAGGTCTCGGAACTAGCTACAGAGTAAGTCATTAAGCCAACCGAGTATAGACAAGTAAGTGGAATGTCCAATAAATGTTCTAGTGAATGGCAGAGAATTCGAGGAAACACATGGAAGTTCCGATGAAGGATTGGGAATATGTGTAGGTGACTCGTGTTCAAGAAAATGCATAGTGGAGTACGACGAGGAAAAGCATTACCAAGAAGGAGGAAATCATTAAGTTACCTTACCCAAGGGGCCCCACTCTGAGCGAGTACGACATAGTAGGATGTCATCCATAAAGAAGGCCAGTTAAGGATAAATTAGTGATATTTAGTTAAGCCACTAAGAGCCATGATTAAGAGATTAAGGCTATGTACAAGCATCGGTCGAGGCAAAAGACGTGGATGAGGTATGTTCAAGCCTACCAAGGGCAAGCCACTATAGGAAGCTTTGACCCAAAACAACAACGAGAAGATACTCAACAGAGTTTGGTGACCAAAAATAGTACAAAGCACCAACAGAAGGGTAGTAAAAGTAAAGAAGCAAGGTGAACACCATAGGACGCTATATGAAATAAAATAAAATAAAATAAAAAGGTGGTTGTCGACATGACAATGAATGCGTGAAGGAAGATAGTTGGGACGTGGTCAAGCACCATCGTGAGTAGAAGTCGTGGGTGTCATCTGTCATGTCTAACTAGAGAAAGTTTCTAGTGGAAATGTTGCCTCTGGGGTATGGCGAGGAGCTACTAAACTGAGTAGATCAAAGCTAGTACCAAGCATCGATGATGGAGTTGTGGAAGTAAGGAGGAAACCACAAGCTATAATGAAAGTGATGGAGAAAATGGTAGTAGTTGATAAAACGACAAATTCAGTGAGAAAGATAGTTAGGAAGAGCCGGCGAAAGAATAAGAAGGTCAACAAGGAGGCATTAAGGTGTTTTCCAGTGGAGAATAAGTTGGACCATAGGAAGCCCATCAAGAACGGAGAAGCTCAATGGTCAACTTTAAAGTAGAAGTGTGGTGGTCCAGAACGGTCGAAGGGAAAACCTTATCGGTCAAGGTACATAAGTGAGAAGAGAATATGGGCACCAAGATGACTACAAGGACATATAGAACTAGCGAGAAACATCAGTAAGTGGAGTCACGAGTAATGAAGTAAGATGGATATGAGGTTAGCGAACCTGCTAGGATACCCTAAAGTGAAAGCAATACCACCTATAAGGGTAAAATGTGACGATCTCTCGGGTGAAAATTTCTTGGACGGGGAAACTGTACGAGGAATTTCAGGCAAGGTCAAAGAACAATAGAAGAGATCGTACGAGAACTCCCAAGTTAAACGGTGAGAAGAAAGTGTTAAGTTAGGCGCCATGAGTGAATAAGTACTCAAAATGGAAGGTCATGATTCTGGAAAGAAGTCATAAAGTTGATCGCAAGCTAGAGAAAGACGCAAAGGATGCCTCTAATGCATACAGGAAGTAGAAACAGTAGTATGAGGTTCCAACACTAAGCAGCAAGTAACGAGGCGGTGACCATTTAGTTTATGATTAAGGGATAAGACGAGGCATTGAGGAAGAAAGTAAGAGATGTAGAGTTTGGAGATACAAGGAAATTGGTGACCTATGAGGTCAACTCCGGACGAGAGGTACATTAAAGGAATTTTACCATCTGATGGGATAGAGGATAAGCCGCCATTTGTAACCCTGGGGTTCAAGAGGAGCATTAACATCTGGTATAACAAACAATGGATTATCGTTCCTATATATGTACAAGGTGCAGCCGAGGTAATGTGAGGGGTTAAGAAGCCACAACAACATTGAAGTTGGAGGGAATGGAGAGAAGGATTTTAGGTCATGTCGTAAAAGTTAAAGAAAATAAAAAAATCCGCGAAGTGAAAAGGATTACCACAAGCGATGCTTAGGGTAATCACAGTGGACAAATTTTGAGGGCGAAATTTCTATAAGTGGGGAGGAAATGTGATACCTCGACTTCGATAGGTTCAACATCAAGTACTGAATCAGTGGGACCGGTTATTGTAACAACACCTATTGTGTTGTTATTGTAACAACACTAGTCCCCAACCAATAGGAAGCTAGGGATGTGATGACTTTTTATTAGTTGAGTTGACCTAGTGTAAAATCAAAACAGGGGTATAATTGTCATTATGAAAAATATGTTTAAATAATAAAAAAATAAAAAAAATAAAAAAATAAAAAAATATTTTTTTATTTTCTGCCCAAAAATTTGGTCGCCGGAATTCTGCCACCGGTCGCCGGAAAATGGTCGCCGGTCACCGGAATATGCTATTTGTCGCCGGAATATGCTATTTTGTGGCCGGAATATGCTTACCAGAGTCGGAATATGCTTACCGGCGTCGGAATATGCTTACCGGCGTCGGAATCTAGTCACCGGGGCCGGAATATGCCTATCGGCGTCGGAATCTGCTCACTGACGGTCACCGGAGTTCGGTCAACGAACTTCGTTGACCGGTCAACGGTCTTCGTTGACCGGTCAACGGTCTTCGACCACCGGATGTATGGTCTACATTGTGAGATTTATGGTTTGGTTTCTCATATTTCCGTATGCCTTTTGTGGTTTGCTTTATCGCGTTTGTGGTTTGCATTACGAAGTTTCTAGTTTGCTTTATCGTGTTTGTGGTTTGCATTGAGAAGATTCTGGTTTGCTTTCAAAAACTTTGTGGTTTGCATTGTGAGGTTTCTGGTTTGTTTTAATATATTTGCGGTTTGCATTAGGACGTTTATTGTTTGCTTTTTTGTGGTTTGATTTACTGTGTTTGTGGTTTGCATTAGGAGGTTTCTGGTGTGCTTTCGCAAATGTTGTGGTTTGCTTTGTGAGGTTTTTGGTTTGTTTTAGGAGATTTGTGGTTTGCATTCGGAGGTTTCTGGTTTGCATTAAAAAATTTCTGGTGTGCTTTCGAAACTTTTGTGGTTTGCTTTGCGAGGTTTCTGGTTTGTTTTAATATATTTGTGGTCTGCATTAGGACGTTTTTGGTTTGCTTTACCGTGTTTGTGGTTTGCATTAGGGGGTTTGTGGTGTGCTTTCGGAATATTTGTGGTTTGCTATGTGAGGTTTCTGGTGTATGTTAGGGGATTTGTGGTTTGCTTTACAAGGTTTATGGTTTGTTTTAATAGATTTGTGTTTTAATAAATTACCATCGAGGGTGGGTAGTACTGTTAATAATGCACAACAACTTTTTCACCGATCTCTCAACGAATCAATCTATATTTTCTTCTCTCTCTGAATCTATTCTCTGGGGAAAAAAAAGGCACGTAACGGAGGAATTGTAATCTTGTTCTATCATAATGGCGAGGAAGCTTTGCTCTGCAGCCATGAAATTAGCTGCAAAGGAAGTGATTCAGTATGTGGAGCGAGTCCTCTTGTGGATCGAAAGGATAGCTTTCTTCACGCTGACTTGTTTCTTGCTCATCCGCCTCTCCGATTCCAACAAATCCCTTCAGCCAGAATTCTTCCATGGACTCGTTTCTGGTGTAATTTCCACGAACTCCGCTGCGGAAGAGAGTGGCACCCGCAACGCGATTGGCGATAGTAGTAGTCTGGGGTGAGAGGAGACGAGTCCCCACTCGACGGCGGCGACGAAGTTGGCGGAGAGACGGTTTTGAGCGATTTCGGCGGCGATAGGACCGCCCTAATCTTGGCCTCGGGACAATGGTGAGTGATGAGATCTGACAGCTGGATGTGGTGGGAGACGTCGGCGGTCGGGAGGGGAACGATGGAGAGGTTGGTGATGGTCGGGGCAGGATTTGAGAAGGGAGTCGGTGGTGGCGGTGTCGGCTGCGACGATGACTGGTGTCTCCGCCTCCGTCGCCGGCATTTTGGGGGCGAGAGGGGCTGAGAAAGCGACGATGAGATCTGAATGGGAGAGAAGATAAAATTATTTATTTTTTGTATTATGTTTATTGTCATTTACGGTTATGCCCTTGTTGTTATAATAACAACACTTAGGGTGTTGTTATGCTATCCGCACCCTGAATCAGTTGGACCAAATAAATTGAGCCAAAATTTTGTTCCATCACACCTTGGGCCCAAGTTGGAAAATTTTGAAAAGGGCAATGAGTCACTCAAACCTATTCGATGCTACCAAGCTAGATGAGAATATATGTTATGGTCAAGAGTACATATAAGAACTATCGTAAGCTATTCAAGACAAGGTAAGGGCACACCATTGAAGTTCATATAGAAAGAGTGAAATCTTGAGTCAAAGAAGCGCGAGAATGAGGAGTATGAAAGGATGAGCCCGATCAAATTTTGGGGACGAAATTTTTATAAGGGTGGAGGAAATTTTACACCCCGCTTTTCCCAAAAGCCAAAATGACTATTATACCCTTGGGTCAAGTTTCACCGTAATGTCGAGGAGGACTTAAAATGTGAACTATCGATTCAAGCGGTGTCGAATTTCGACATGAAATGATAAAGTTACGGACATTAACCGGGGTTCAGATTAAACTCACTCGTAGTTATGTTATTCCCAAACTAACCCGGGCAATTAAATCATAAGCCCTACCCCGACCCTACTCGGCTTCATGCGGACCTAAGAGAGAGAGGGAGAAGCCGCTATCCAAACCCTCTCCATTCAGTAAGGGAACCAGGAATTCCAAGCTTTTGCGTTCAAGGATTTCATATTTGGGAGCAAATTCGGACTGGTGGATCATTTTCAGGGATCGAGCACCAACATCCACCACTTTGTCGTCGGGATGATCGAGCAGTCTAACCAGAAGCGGCAGAGCGCCGGCGGCGAGAACTGCCTGAACTCCCTCGTCGAATCCGCAGGCGAAGCTGCCGAGAGCTGCCGCCGATTGGACGACGACATTGCTGGCAAAGCCGAGCATTCCCCGTGATGAAGCGGCGGGAGCTAGCTGGAAGTAGTCGTCGTCGGCAATTGCGGCGGAAAGAATTGAGGCAACGCGGGGGTACGGTGTCGAGCTTTTTGGTCTTGCTGCCGATTATCTGGTTCTTGACTTCCCGCAGGGCGCTCAGCTTGACATCGGGGTCGCCGGAGGAGAGTCGAGCGACGAGGGAAGTGGGACCGCCGTCGGCACCGGAGGTGAAAGAAGCGGACGCGGTAGTTGGCATATCAGTGGTGTCGATTGATAGCGACAGAAGAAGAAGAAGAAAGAAATAAAGAAAGAAAGAAAGAGCAGAAGCAGCATGAAGAAGAAGAACCCAAAAAAAAAACATTCCCGAGAGGGGGTTTTGCTATTTTGGCGGGGGCGATCATGATGCGATTCAAGAGCGGAAGCAAAGTGGAGGTGCTGGAGAAACGAGATTCGCCTTCAGGCTGGTGGCATTGTGCCGAGATTGTGTGTGTGGGAATGGGCACAACTACTTTGTGAGGTATGATGGGGATGCTGAATTGAAGAGGGTATCGAGAAATGCTATCAGGCCATGCCCACCTGCATTTGAAGTTTCTGATGCTTGGGTTCCTGGCGATGTAGTGGAGGTGTTTGATGACTTCTGTTGGAAAATTGTCGCGATCACAAAGGCATTTACAGGATAATCGACTGATAACCAAGGTGAGTGTAAAGGGGGTAAATTCTACGCCATACGTATTCTTTTATTATTATTTTTAAGTATTTTAGCGAATTGGTTACCGTTGCTTGGTTATGTTTATGATTGATTATTTGTGCTTTGCTTGAACTATGATTTGAGGTGATTTTGTGCTATTTGAGGTGATATGAGGTGATTTTGTGCTATTTACCTTATAGCGTTATGTTTGAGTTATTGTTAAAGTTTAAGAAACAAGTTCTTTTTAAGAAGTTACTCACCTTCAAGAAGGTGAAGTCGTTTTAAGTGTTTTTAGTCACTAGCGTCAGTCCGTTGCCATTTGAGATTTTCAAATAGAGCAGCAGTTATGCTCTTGAGATCTCTGAGATAGAGCAGCAGTTATGCTCTTGAGAATCATGGTGAAGAGCCACCACGATAAGTTTAAGATGTTAGGGGGATGAATCGTTACGACTCCCCTAATTAAGTTTAAGTTTAAGGAAAGCCTTGATGGCTTCTCATACGTATGAGTTGGAGACCGGACTAGCTAGTGGGGGATCCCAGTGTCAGTCAAGTATTTAAGTCAAGATTTGAGTTTTAAGAGAGAAGAGTAACTTCAACTCCCTCAAAGTTTAAGAGTTAAGATTTTACGATTGGAAGTACAAACAACTTCCACTAGTCAAAGTTAAGTGTTTAAGTAAAGTACTCAAGTATTAGAATTAGTAAAAGGTAAGGGCGTAGACTGACCCCAACTCACTCACCAGGCCTTAGTAAGGGAATGAGCGAGAACCAGATCGGTAGCAGCTAGCTAGAGGAGCAGTTAGAGAGCAGCGAGTTCGAGAGGAAAAGTTATAGAGCAACCAGCTAGAGGAGGGCAGTGCAAGCGTCACGGAGAATGCCTAGTTAAGATTTTCAGTAGCAGCAAAGACAGAGACTACCTAGTTATTTAAATTTTATGATTATGAGTATAGACTGGAGATCAGATTGAGATTTAAAGTTTTAGTTTAATTTGCCCACGTGTTAGGGCTTTGCTCTGAGCTACAAGTGTGTGCTTTCAGTATTTTATTTATGAAAAGTTTCCCACTGCAATTTAAGATTTGAGTATTTTATTTATCAAGGGCATTTTAGTAAAAGTAGTACCCGGCCGGGTTAGGGTGTTACAGGAACTTTCATGTGCTTCCTCGAATTTTCTGACATTCACTAGAACATTTATTGAACGTTCCACTTACTTGTCTATATTCGGTTGGCTTATTAACTTACTCCATAGCTAGTTCCGAGACTTCAACTCTTAGCCCTCTAGTTTCCTCTTATTAGAGAGGTTCCTCCTTCTATCACCCCTCATGTACCCTAGGCGGCTAGGTGATCCCTCCATTTAGGATAGGACAATCCCATAACAGATCATCGTGAACTCTTGCATTCCCCTTTCAACGGTCCCAACATCCTCTTGACCTTTTGTGATCTGGGTAGTTTGTAGGGTCTCTAATATCCTCTTTCTAATTCGGTGTTATCTTGGTATCCCACTCACGCACTACTGAGAAGTTGTTCTCTATTCGTACTGCCATTTACTAGCTAACTGTTATTCCCTCTCACATTCCATGTCTTTTCTTATGTATTGACTCCCCACTGTCTTCTACCAGGCATGCTTTAGACTTTGGTGGCACTTTCCTCCCGTCTCATCCAATGGTGGTCGTACTGAGACCATAACTTGTCCTCTACATCATTTATCTCGTTGCTTGTCTTGTTCCTTCTAAAGGGGTTACATCGGCCTAACTTCCTAGGGTTATGTACCCTCTTCTCTAGTGACGTAGTTTATCTATAAGTGTTCCTTAATCGTCATATGTAAATGACCATGCCTCCTCTCCTCCTTAAACTATTTGCTTCTTGACGTCCTTTCAGACCCCCTCTAATCTACTTACTTCCTCCTTTACTTCATTTATACTACACTAGCTTCTCTTGAAGTCTAAGCTTTCCACTGCTCATTGTCACTGTGTTGTAATAACGTCGACCACTAAAACTAGTTGAGGGACTTCTCGTGGTACCTCTTTATTTCTTGACTCGCCACTGCTTAGGGTCAAGGACCCTAAAATTCTCCCATTATTATAGCTACTAACATCTAGTGATTGTAGCTCTTCTTCGGAGATTCATAGTTCTGCTATTTGCTTATCTTAACCTATTAGATCGTTTGCTAGTGGCTAAGTAGAAAATTTCTCGTAGTGCTCATTCAACTCCTTCGAATCCTCGTACTTATACCTCAGAATGTAACATCCCAAACCGTTTCCCGAGCAAGTTATTGTCCGCTTTGGGCCTCGACCCTCACGGTTTTCGACTTGGGGTGTAATTCAATTTGACTTCCCATAGGGCCACGCATCTTAGTACTACTCTCGTCGAAGCACGTTTAACTTTGGAGTTCTGATGGGATCCGGTGCATTAGTGCTGGTATGATCGCACCCTTTTATTATGACTAAAGTTATTTATCTTAATACGATTAGAGTAGACTAGAGATTCCATAGACACTTAAAAGGAGACCTTTGACTCATTTTCCTTTCCTTTAAAACAAAACCTTTAAAAACTAAGACCGACATTCCAGTATTCCTTGGAGACCAAGGAACTGAGGAAGACCGGCTCTGATACCAAAATGAAACACCCTAACCCGGCCGGGTACTACTTTTACTAAAATGTCCTTGATAAATAAAATACTCAAATCTTAAATTGCGGCGGGAAAATTTTTCATAAATAAAATACTGAAAACACACACTTGTAGTTCAAAGTAGAGCACTAACACGTGGGCAAATTAAACTCAAATTTTAAAATCTCAATCTGATCTCCAGTCTATACTCATAATCATAAAATGTAAATAACTAATAATCTCTAATGTTGCTGCTACTGAAAACCTTGACTAAGTATCCTCTGTGATGCTTATACTGCCCTCCTCTAGCTGGCTGCTCTCGAACTCGCTGTTCACTAACTGCTCCTCTAGCTCTTCAAATTGGTGAGTGAGATGGGATCAGTTTACGCCCTTACGTTTAACATCTTATTAATACTTGACCACTTTACTTAACTTATTGGAAGTTGTTTTGTACTTCCACAATTAAAATCTTAACTCTTAAAACCGAATGGGAGTTATTGTTACTCTATTCTTAAATCTCAAAGCTTGACTTAAATACTTGACTAACACGAGGATCCCTCACTAGCTAGTCCAGTTGCCAACTCATACGTATGAGAAGCCATCCAGGCTTTCCTTAAACTTTAACTTATCGTGGAAGGCTCTTCTTCCACGATTCTCAAGAGCATAATTGTTGATCATCTTAAAAATCTCAAGAGCATAACTGCTTCTCAACTTAAATATCTCAAGAGCATAACTGCTGCTCTGTCTCAAAGATCTCCAGAGCATAACTGCTGCTCTATCTGAAAATCTCAAATGGCAACGGACTGGCGCTAGCGACTAAAAACACTTAAAACGACTTCACCTTCTTGAAGGTGAATTACTTCCTTAAAAGAACTTGTTTCTTAAACTTTAACAATAACTTATACTCGGGAAAATTTCAAAGTAAATAATAACCATTCACTTCAAGTCATAACTCAAACAAGGCACATATCATCAACCATAATCATGCAGTCTCAAAACATGAAACAAATACTGCACATACATCACGTAAATCAATACTCGAAAATACTGAAGGAAAAATACTTTTTCTTATGGTTAATCAAAAATTTCATTAAGCACAGGCATCTAAATCGCCTCTCAAACAAACTAAAGTTTACAGAATCAATAACTCCAGATAAAGAAAAAAATTGTAAATCAATCCAATCTAATCATGCTAAGGCTTTTCTAAAGATCCAAGTCAAGCTCCGCTCTCCACTTCAATACTCTGCCAACTTCTCTGCAAATCACACCTGGGGACTTTATAGAACACTCCCCATACAAATGGGCACAACGTTCCCGCCAGATAAGACTAGTAACAAGACTCCATACAGCCCGGCAAGCTACTGCTTTAGAACCTTTTCCTTTCCACTCATTGGCACACCACAAATCACTTCTTCCCACATACTCAATCCACTAACAGGTGCCAGGGACGCCAAACAACTAGTGATAACTGCCTGCATATAGGGGCAAGCATAGAAAAGATGATGACATGTTTCAACTCCCCCCGGACAGAGCACACAAAACCCTGAGACCGGTTTTCCCCAAGCAAGCAATTTCTCCTGAGTTCTCAATCTGCCTAGGATAGCTAACCATAAGACAACACCATGCCAAGGAATCACTTCCTTACTCTAGACCAGCTCATACCAGACCACAGGAGGGTCAGACAATCGAATGGATTCCCATACTCTTTTCACAGAATAGCGAGCCATAGGCTCACCCTCCCAGAGAGTGAGCTCCCCCTGAACAGAAATAAAGGGACGAATAGCAGAACGACATTTCAAAAATCTTTTCCAAATCCAAGAACTAGCAGCTCCCTCTTTCAGATCCCAAAAAGACCTCTGTTTGATACGGTATCGTTGCACCCAGGCAACCCATAGAGAGCCACTAGAAATAAGGACATTCCCAACATACCTAATTACACACGCTTTATTCCAAACAACAAAGCTTC